CTCAGCAGGCAAAGGCTGTGCCCGCATACAGGGTAAGGACAGCCCTGCTCCCACCTGGAGCCCACACCAGGCTGCAATTCCTTCTGCTGTGTCCCTGTCCACAGGCCTAGACCTGACAGCATTGCCCTGCTAATCCTGCAGAGAAATGGATGATGAAGGGGCAGCTGGCAACACCCAGATCAATCAATACGAACAATGCATTAAGAAAAGAGTAACAGAAAATCCTCAGGCATTTACTGTAGTATTCATCTGTGTGAAGCTGTCAAGATAGGTGGAGCCAAGAGAAACAGATTCCACAAACACAACTGTGCTTTTCATTAAGGCAAAACAAGGGAAGAAAGGTCATGCGAAGTGAATCAAAGCACACTGATATTGCAGCCGTTGCTCTCATCCGCTTCAAGGAATGCTCTGACTAGAACAGCCTAAAGAAATGATCCTATTCTTCCCCTGCCCTCCAACATAACCTCTACTACCTGCTGAGAGTCAGCACCAAAGCAACACCCTTAAGGTTGCAGCCTTACTGGTTTAAATTGAAATAAGTTCAGATATTTAGAGACCAATTTTTCAGACAGACTGATCTGAAGTCGTTGGGAGGGGAAAAAGAAAAGTAGATCTAGTTGCTCCTTGACCATTCACGTTCTTTCTCCTTCAGCCACAATGCCTAAAAAGTAACACAGTCTGTTACTGTACCAAAGAAGTTACACACAAATAGAAGCAAGCACTGCAGTGTTCCATGATACAAGCATAAAGTGGAATTATTCTGAAAGGAGAGCTCCTTTCTTGGACTTCCCTAATTAAAAACCGTCTTTTCTGACATCTTTACCATGTTTAACTTCTCTCTACTCCAGAGGAGCACGTCTCTCTATTTCTGCATTGTCATTCTCAAGCAGACACCTGGACTGCTGCAGGAGATTTTAATCCCCAGCACAGCAAACTGCCACCTCACTTCCCCAGGATGACAAGTGTGTCTGTACTCTTTCCCCCCTCCACATTATTAACAGGCTCCCAGTACACAGATCATTCAATCATCAACAGCAAAAAACCCCATCAAAACTGGCAGGAAAGCCCAAGACAAAGCATTGGGAACAGAGAGCAGCTTTTCCGAGGCTGAGATAGGAAACTGTAAACACTGCGAGTATTTCAAGCAAATTTACTTTTACTCTCTTCAACATGGGTAGTTAAGTAGTTAAATTCAAATCGAGGTCTGACCATCACAAGAGAAGAGCCCTGGGAAGGCAGGGACAGTTTCATCTAGGAGTCACAAACACAATTACCAGCCTCTTACTAAGACATGTTTTTAACCAAACACGGATAAACCCTGACTGCATGCACTTGCTCCACCTCTTTCAAACAAGTGAAAAGCAGATGGGCTTGTAACACGAATGTGAATCTGAGGGGAAGGGGAAAAAAGGCACCTAGCTTGCAAGTAATCTTATTCTTTTGCCTCCTTACAGACATATCCAGACTATTTCAATATAGATGAAATCTAACCCTGGAAACCAGGATCCACAGACCTTGAGAAGAAATAAATCATTTAAGAGGAGGAGTGGGAAAGGAAGAGGAAAACGATCCTTACCAACTGACTGGCCTTAACCGTGCACTTTTCCAGGAGACCAAGAATTGCTTCTGATGCAGCAGCATTCAGCCCTGAAGTCAGAGCAAATTGCGAGGGGAGGTATCAAGAGGGAAGGGAGGAGAAAAGAGGAGAAGGGAGGGAAGAGGAGGAAAGGGGAGGGGACAGCACATACACTGCATGGCAGTTGAGCTCTAACATTGCTTTTGGGAGACAGAACAAAGCTACTGCTAAATTAGGCTGGGAATCAGTTTGTGATGATTGAAGATGGTAAGGGAATGAGATACCAGTATGACCATTTGGGTTCAAAACAGAGTCAGAAGGAAGAAATGTGTGTCCCTACATGTGTCTATTTAGAGAAGCAGGAATGCCAAACATGCTTCGAAGGAGAGATCATACTAAAACTTCAAGTGAGGCAGGGTAAATGTAAGAGCTGCAGCCAAATCTTTCACTGCAATTAGTGAAAGAAGGAGGTTGTCCAGAAGAAAGCAAAGTTTCCTTGCTCTCCTACAGTCCTCCAAACTCAGCTTGCATCTACCTGAAAACCTAAGAGATTGTAAATTAGATGGAGTAGTGACTTCATCTCTTCATTCATGTGTATGTTGCCAGCTGTGCCTGAACACATACACAATGTACTACAGACATTCCTACGCCAAAGAGAGTCACCCAAAAGCAGTAAAACAGACCTACAGGAAGCGGAACAGCACAAATAACAGCCGTTTCAACACATGACCTCACCACCACATCTCTGCAGGACTGGGATGAAAATTCAAAAAGCAATTTGTCATCTCAGAGGCTCTACTTCTCTGGTATCCAAAATTTCCCACTCCTTACAAATCACACTGACTTCTTGATATCTACTGCCAGCTATCCAAGTCATTAGACTTACTCCCTTCAGCTAGCAATTCTGTTTCACGCTAACTACTGTCCACCATCTTATGCTTTCCTGGACCTACAAGCCTCCTGAGCCCACAAAACAACTTCAAGTCTCGCACACACACAGAACCTTGTGATCCCTTCCAGCCGCATTGTGGCTGCACAGCATGACACAGCAAGTGGTCCACTGGATGACACAGCTCTAAAGTTCTGACTCCACATATCTGCAGTGGGGCACAGGAAGGGCTCAGCTGACCCCTTCCCTTTGACTAGCTACTTCCCTCTTTGCAAAGGTTGACTTCCATTCAGAAATCGAGGAAGATCCCGAATTAAGTGGTGCCAAGGGAAAAGACAGCACCAGAACACTACACAGTTATTGAGGTGTGCCCCTGAAAAGCTGATTCCTGTGGAGCTCTCCTCTGCTACTGATCCACAAGCAAACAGATAGGCTGTTTTGCTGTCTTCTCAGTTTTAAGACCCATCTCCACACCACTCCAGAGTAACACAGAAAACTGAACCTCTTACTTTCACAGAAATGTAATTCGCTGGAGACTCCCAGGGTTATACACTGCCCTTACGGCTTCAGCAAAGTATTGCTGACAACTTGATCCAGCACACAGAGCCTCCGTGCCAGATGCTTATCTTTAAAAATGCAAACCACTTGGGTGATGGCTAACAGCCTGCCAGGCATTTCTGCCCTGGCTCTTCTGAGAAACACACCCTTACCCCAGCACTGCCATCCCCAGAGCTCCATCCCACAGACCTGGAACAAACCAAGAAGCATGCCACTAGATAAAAAGGAACATTTTCCTTGCAGGGAAAAAGCAAATCAATAAACCCATGTATTCCCTTCCTCCACATAAAGCCCCAAGTCCAGAACAACTCACAAAGGGTTAGTGCAGCTACATGAATTCAGCTGGAAAGGATTTTCATCACCTTGTCTCTTTCCTCGCCTCTTCTGCTGTTTCAAAAATAGCTCTGGCTTGTTTGCTGTACTGCTTATGTCAGTCTGATTTTATGCCTGAGTGGATGTATACAGACAAGCTCGTAGCCCGTTAAACACCGACTACCCAGATCTGTACATACATGCACAGTCACACAAACACAAAGCACAGTCCCCTCCCTTCGGAGGCCATGCTGGAAAGCTGCTTGCTTTCAGAGGCTTTGTGCTGTATTAAGTATGTTTATAGCAGACCTCAAACAGGGGCTAAAGAACACACTACAGCCTTTTCTGAGGTTAAAACAAAACAGGCAGAAAAGCAAAACAGCCATCCATCTTTGAGCTGCAAGTAAGGACCTTCCCTGGGATGAAAATACACTGAAACAAGAGTGCATTTATCAAATGACCTAAGGTCACTTGTCTGCATGCTGTTAGTGTTTCTGTCCATTAAAGACAAACAATCCCTCCCAAAGGCCTTGAAAACTATTACCCACCATTGCTGGGAAGGGATATGGGAAGGTGCAGACATGCAGAAATACCGGAACAAACTACTCTTAAAAGCCCCTTCAGGTAAAGTCCTGAACTACGAGGAGCTGTCTGAATGAGATTTTTCCTACAACCACTTTTTAATCACTGGGTTTTCCTGAGCAGCTTTTCTTTTTTAGAGTAAATCAACTTGCTGGAGCTATTTCACTAATCCCAGATTAATTCCATTCAAATCTGGCATCCTTCTCAAACCCAGTCATCTAAAATTCAGCCTTCAAGACCCAGCTCATCAGCTGTGAGCTGCCTCCCTGATGTATTTTTAAATGAAACCTTCTCAGCATGCCATGACTCAGGAACATTGGTTACTATGAATGGAAGATTTCCACAAGGAAATGCAGCACAAGAATTTTGGTTGCCCATTCTATCCATATAGCTATATAGTGATAAAATCACAATACACATTAGCTATTTTATCACTTATTATAAAAGTAAATTAAAACCTACATACATTTCTGTATGGAGTGCTCCCCAATTAATTATCTGCAAAAAACCCTCTGAAATTTAAGAGGGGAAAAAAATGTATCATTTCCAGCAGTCACTAGAGCATGAATATACTATTAGAAAGATAAGCCTCTTGGGCACAGCATCTCTTGTTATGGTTGCTTGCTTCTACACACAAGTCTGTATGTATATCAACAGGAAAGAACATACAAACAAAACCTCACCATATAGCAACAAATTAGCATCTTAACACGCAGTGTGAAAAACTAGTTGTTACTTGGCATCTGAGGACCTTTTAAGTTTCAAGAGCAATCCACCAAGCCAGACTTGCAAAGAACTGGAACAGACTGCCTGGGGTAGTCACTGAGTTCCATCCCATAAGTCTTTAATGTCAGCCTCAGAAATAAATGGGTAAAAATCAGCTCTGCCTTGGGGCAGAGAGGTGAAGATCCCTTTCAAATTCCATGGTCCTCACCTCCTGCCTTTTTTTCTTTTTTCTGGGGCATTCCTTATCTCATCTGCTTACTTCTAGCAACCTTTCCTTGTTCTCACTCCTGTTAAGACCAGTATCATGATTAGAAATAAGCTTTGAACAAAGTATGAAAATTAACATCGTCTTCTTACCCATCCTCCTTGTTGAATGATATAATCTGCTGAATAGTCTTCTAGATATGTCACCCCGAAGTTCACAAGTGCACTCAGTGGCTCTTGGCCCCGTCTGGTTAACTCCATCAGAAATTGTTGTAGCAGAACCAGTGGTACCAAGACCTTCAAAACAACAAGAATTGTGAATAAATACAGGAAGCTTTATCAATAACTACTGTTAAATCAGAAGAATTCATGTGGTCCACAGAAAAGGTCTGAGTCTGTAAGTTCAAAGATATTAGGGACTATACACTTCATTTCTGTGAAGACACAAGGCAAAAGCACAATACAGTTCAGTAACAAAAAGGCACATCATCTTGATAAGCAAAACAACACAGCCTAAATTGAGTTTCACAGAACAAGACTGCAGTACTTTCTTAAGCCCCACTTTTCTCCAACACAAGATTCAGGTAAAGAAGCAGAACAGGTCCAGAATTTGCTACCGAAATTCATACAAAAATGGAAAGATGCAACGTTACAAATAGTTTGAAGGGATATGCATCTACACTGTACTTAAACAGCAAATTCATATACATTCTTGAATAGATACACTGCACTAGTCAAGTCTCTTTAGAAGTTCCTACTTGGCTTTCAGACAGGACAGAAACAAACACCTCCCAGCAGCATAACATTAAAGACGTTTAAAACAACAAACACAAACCCCTTTCCATGTTAAACTCTCCCACCTATGCCAAATTTAACAAGCACAGAATTCCCTCCTTCATTTCCTACTCCCATTCCTCCCTCTATACCTTTTGTCTTTAACTAAATGCTTGCCCTTACCCCAAATGTGAATTGCTCTGGAAGATTCAACCATCTATGAACCCATCTCCTTCTTATTACACAGTTGTAGACACTTCCTTCTGAAATCATGTTTTTGTTTGCCTGAACAACATGCATTTGAACTTATAAACTCTAAATTTATTCTCCTAAAGCACACAAGTGGCCCTCTGGGCAAAGTTTATAGGCAGCACTTTGCCAAGGTCAAGAAACTGGATGAATTGAAGTCATTAGCATCTGAAAAAGCACTATTATGATATCAGAAAACAGTATTTGTTTTACTGTACCTAGCTTGTGACAAATGCATTACACATCTATTCACTGTGCAAATAAGAATGTTGTTTCCCAGCTGCACAAGGTAGATGCAGGCTAACATTACTGCACAGACTGAATGCCTCCTCTTCTTTCAGCCTCATTTTCTTTTCTGTAAATTCCTAGAGGTCATGGTGTATGATGCAAAGCTCAAGGAAGACAAATAGAAAGGAGGCTGGGTTTGAGATTTGTACTACATCCATGGTGGAGTCACACTGAGATGGGGCCTTAAAAATCCCTGTAATATGATAAATTTAAAACGTTCCAGCTGACTGCATCCCTGCCCACAGCAAGGGGGTTGGAACTACATAATCTTCCAGGTCCCTTCCAACCCAACCATTCTATGATTCTGTACTGCTCTTCTGGGATGAACAGCTAACACTGCAGTCACTAAACTAGGAATGAGGTGGTGCTTGAATTTTATGAGCCTTGGGGGTTTTGAGTTTCTTGTAAGTAATCTCAACTCAGAGGCAGAAGGGATACAAACTTATAATGCACAAACATATGGAGCAGGTCAAGGTCAAGTAAGTGTCAGAAGAAACTTCAATCTTTTTGGATCAAGATTAAAAAAACATGCTGTCAAGACTAGCCATCTTTCAGAGGTTTGGGCACTCCCACGTTAACCACAACAGCATGAACAATGAGATCTCAAAATATTTGACATTTACTGTAAGCTGAAAGCAAGAGAAGCAAAGGCAAAAAAAGGCTGCTTAGGAAATGAAGGGAGCTCAAATGTTGGCATACAGAACATGATTGTTGCCGCCTTCCTTTGTAAACTTAAATATCTAATCCATCCACTCCTCACAAATTTAGCAAGCCTCTGCAGGCCTCAGGAGCAAGGGACCCAAATCAAACTCTAATACCCAGTCCCATGCAGACCAACAAACATTGCCCGGTTTTCTGTTCCCACTGAAACTATTGACACTACTGACTTTGAGATCAGTGAGAACGGGAACAGGCTTGCATGATATTGTCTGTAAACTCATCAAAGAAATTACCTTCACAATACTTCCAGAAAGGTTAACAACAGCTTTCTGTACATAAGAGTAGCTGTGTGACAGTGATGAAATTGAACCAGACTAAAGTAAAAATAAAGCCTTAACAATGAAAAGCAACTGCAATTCCCTCCACCAGTATGCCTAGGAAGGAATGCTAGGGGTTATTTATATTTCGACTGAAGAAAAACATACACAGTATCAAGCACAGCATAACAGAAAATAGTTGGCAGGAGAAAACCTGAGGGGAATCATTTAAAATAACAAACTTTACTATCAGAAGATTTCCGATTAATTGTGTCAATGAAAGACTTCTGTCAGTTATGCTATTGCAATCCCATAGTGCAATATTACTAATTCAGACATGTGCCAAAAAAGCATCATTACAAAGAAAGTTCAGAGTCTTTGAAGAAGCTCTGTCCAAAGTCATTGCCACTTCTGTGCACCTTTTGACTATTTCAACATAAAATTCATCTAATTCTTTACAACTATGTCTTACATTTTTGTTGGATTATTCTTTGGCTCCATTATTCAGCAAACATGGCACATTAAGATGACTGCTAACCTACTTACCAGTTCAGTTGACTCCCAATATCAGTATTTGCTATCCTTTTATATCTGATGCACAATAGTAAGATTAGTCATTTTGGGGTATATATGCAATATTCAGTTTTAAGCTAAAAGCATAAAAACTCAACAGTGGAGTATTTCAGTTTTTATTACATTTATTTGATTGCACAAATATAAACTTGCCTTCAGTTTGGGGTGGGTTTGGTTTAGGCTGGTTTTAATGAGAGCCTTATTTCAAATACAAGGTGAAGACTCCTTTTCTTTACAGAATCCAACATCACGACTATTATTTTCACATCACCATTTTTGAGAAATACATGAAATAATTTATTTTCCTTTTTTTTTTTTTACTAAGCACCAGCACTTCTAACGTCTGTGGTAAACTTTGCTTCTGTGGGATGTTAATGGAAGAACTGATGTTGTATGTATTAGTTTACCCTGCAATATTTCCTCATCTGGATTGATATTCCTGGTTCAGTGACTGAAAAAATCCTTTACAGCCCATGTGCCAGTCAGTTAACAAAATCGCCTCAGCAGTTCAAACACAGCACTGCACTCTGGAATCCACAATTTGAAATGGAAAAAAATAACAGCTATATTTAGAAGTGTCTTCTTTCTGCTCACACTTGCATGATGATACTGTTCTTTGAAAACTGGTATGTCTAAAAATGACACCTTCCCCACTGTAAACCAGACAGATCAAGCTTTTGTCCACATTCGACCTCCAGCCAGGTAGCCAGGTAGGTAACCCAGTACCCCCCAGAAGTATGTGCTTAACTGTATGCCATCCTTCTAGCACATGTAACATCATGGAAGATTTGCAAAGGCTACCCTGAGTCTGCTGTGTGCCACAGAGAAACTGGGCCTTTAAGTGATCAGTGTGGCTGAGTGAACCACATTCTGTATATTAAATAGATGGGGCTTCTATAAATACATATGTGTAAAAATACATACCTACAACAGCAGAGGCTCAGAAATTTAAAGTGAGATTTTGTAGACTAGTCCATAGACTACTGAAAGCAAAAAGAGCATCTTGCTGTGCAGGATGCCACTACTGAGCACAACAGAAACAGCTTACATGTAACTGAAAACAGATTTCATCTACTACCTTCAGTTAGTTTATTTCTTCTAGTCTGGATCAGCTGCAAGCTTTGATCACACATGATTTCATCTGTGAGAAGGGATTTCCCTGGTTTGACATCTGCCACTGTGCATCTTCAATTTCTGCTCCACCCAAGAAACTACAGGATACATACTACTCTGAAAATGTAACAGGGAGTGAGCTATTATTTGGTTTGGGTAGCTCAGCTAATTTAATCATAAAAGGGAATAAGCTTCAGTTCTCCCAGTAGAGTCAATTTATATTTACATCTTTCAGATTTTCACAAAGTTAAGGCCAGCACAGCCTCATATCGCTGCTGTGTACCTGCTAATTAGACCTAATACTATGTCTATTTATAGCTGCTTTTTAACACTGTTTTTCTAACAGCTTCTTCTTTAGGGTGAAAATTAACCTAGGTTAAGGCTGCAGGAAAGATATCTAGATTTCTTCTGTTATAAAATACAATTCTGATTAAGATGATAAAGGAATTTAAAAGGAAATGAAACCAATGCAAATGTATTCCATTTCCTCAAAACAAGTATTATTAAAGGAACTGCTCAGCATTCCTGAAGCCTCAAGCTACCACAGAACCCAACAGAAACAGATTTTGTATTATTCTAAAAAAATTCCTTTCTGGTTTGTTTGTGGACTCTAAGTTTTATAGCAACAAATGTTAAGGGTAAGCAAAGATGATGAAAAAGACTTCTGGATGATATTCTCAATTACAATGGCTGATGGGGACCAAAATCCATTAGCCACAGGACCTGCACAAATGAGTACAAGCAATGAAGACTGAATCATAAACACCTGAATGTGGCTGATCCATCTAATCAGGACCCTGCCTTCGCAGGGGGGTTGGACTAGATGATCTCTAGGGGTCCTTCCCAACCTTAACGATTCTGTGATCTTCAAGGACTGTAATCTCCAATAGCATATGGATAACAAGTAGGCAGCTGACCTCTTCCCTTGCCAGCTGAGCCACAATGATGGTTTTCATGCTTGTTTTTAGTTTTTATTAAATGAAAAGTACAATGTGCTAGCTTAAGCCACCTTCTTGGTTATCAGATTTCATGGTTCTTTTAAACTAAAATGTTATGAATCATAAGATAATAAACTGAAAGGACTCAGGCACCAGTTTTAATTGCTGGACCCATGGGCAGTAACTTGTCAAGCAGTGTTTAATAAACTGCTTTAAAAGTGCCCACACTCCTGGTTAGATGATCAGTTTATGAAGTAAGCAGCAACATCTATGTAAGGAAATCTATTTCTGGGAAAAAATATCAAGGGGGGAGGGAAGATTTCTTGCTCTAGTTTAAATTTAAGACCACATTGTAACACTGAATTTGTGATTAAATTTGCAAACAGGTATTTCATTTTCTCATTATGTTTCCGATGCCCACTGAACCCATCAAAGAACAATTAAGAGGGTGAATTTGAATGATCAATGGAAGATGAATCTGGAAACAGTAATTCTCCACTTATCCTACATTAAAACTATTATAGGATACTTCAGCTACAGATCTGCATTTTGTTTTAAAAAGAAGCTTCATTTCATTTGAGATAACTGTTCCTGAAGAAGGTAGGCACACCATGCTTATGTTTTCTGAACCATTTAAATATTGTGAAGATACTGTCACTTTTTATTTTCACCACGTTTAGCACTTTTTTTTTTAACATATCTTTTGAACTTGAGATGGGAGCAAAGAAACAGTAGACAAATATTATGAAAACATCTGTCTCAGATTTCACCACAAAACTACTAAAGAAAAAAAATCTCTCTTGGGAACTTAAAAGTGATTATTTTTAAGAAATTATGCCAAGCAACAACTCTTAACTACTCATTTGAGTACAATAAAGGAAGGCTGACCTAACAGTTTCATTAGATAACTCCAGGCTAAAATACCCAAAAAATACATATTATGTAATCTGTGTCCTGGGTTCAGCAGTAGCAGTCATTTTTCTCTTTCTTGGTAGCTGGTGCAGTGCTGTGTTTTGACTTTGGGCTGGGAACAGAGATGATAAAAATGATGTTTTGGTTTGGCCAAGGACTTTGTGGGCCTCATGCTCTGCCAGGGAGGAGGGAAGCTGGGAGGAAGCAGAGACAGGACACCTAACCCAAACTGACCAAAGAGGTATTCCATACCACAGCACGTCATGCCCAGGAGGTAACTGGGAGTGAGCCAGAAGGGCTAAGGTGGACTGCAGGGTTGGAGGAGGTATCGGTCGGTGCTTGGTCGGGCTGGGGGGGCGAGGTATCGGTCGCCTGGTGATGGGGTGTTGTTTTCTCTTCCCTTGCTATTTCCTTTATCATTACTATTATTGGTGGTAGCAGCAGTGATTTGTGTTATACCTTAGTTACTAAACTGTTCTTATCTCAACCCATGGGAGTTGCATTCTTTCTGATTCTCCTCTCCGTCCTTCCGAGAATAGGGGAGGGCAAGAGCGGGGGGAGTGAATGGACAAGCTGTTTGGTTGGGGTTAAACCACAACAATCTGCCACCATAGAATGGTTTGGGTAGGAAGAGACCTTAAAGGCCACCTAGTTCCAAGCCCCTCCATGTGCAGGGACACCTTCCACTAGACCAGGTTTTGCTTAAAGCGCTGTCCAGCCTGGCCTTGAACACTGCCAGGGATGAGGCAGCCACAACTTCGCTGGACAACCTGTGCCAGGGCCTCACCACCCTCATAGAGAAGAACTTCTTCCTTACATCCAGTCTCAATCTCCCCTGTTCTATAGTTTTGAAATCATTCCATCTGAATATCAGGACACACCTTTTTATTGTGAGGGTTACAGAGCACTGGCACAGACTGGCCATCTGTCCCTAGGAAAACACTATGGACATCAAACAGTTGCAAGACATATCAAAGTGAAAGTCACTTATTTGGTACCTTATTCCATCCACTGGCATGGGCAGCTGTCTCTTCTGTGCGCTGTCGATATTCTTGATATGTCACCGGCCTGCAGAAGTTAAACCAACACTGAAAGTTATAAAAGGAAACAAAAGAACAAGAATAAAATAAAACTCTGAGTTTTCAGAGGACAAATTATTTTTACATGTATCACAGCAACTAATTTTCAAGAGCTAACAAGTCTTGTGTTTCAGGACATAAAACACCAGCATCATCAGTAAGGAAGGCATCACCTTCTCCCAGTTATATATAATTTCTTATAATTACTTAAGTGAATTTCATAATAATTTGATACTCTACAACTTGAAGAGTTGAAACCCTTATTTGCAAGAAATAGCACTTTTGGTCATAAAATTTCAGGAATTTGGTATTTTTATTTCAGTAGATATCTCCATTTTAGATTTATCACATCTCTAGTTCTCTGAATTGGGATGATGACATTTCTCTCTTCCATACTCTCTCCTCTAAGACCATATAGCTATCTTACAGTCAGTAACAATAAAGACTTTCTGACAAGCAGCTTCAAAAGCAGTTGTTCTGAGTCAGATCATGACAAAAAGCAAGTTCAGACTTCCGTTTAAGGGGAAATAGCAGCGTTATTGGACAGAAGACTGCTGATTGAACTCCAAGAGCCTGTCATGCTCCAACAGCCTCCTGTACCATAACATACTTGTTACATGCATATATGAGGACAGGAAAATATAAGCAAAATAAGTATTGCATCAAAGAGCACTACTGTAGTAAACATGGGGAAAAGACCAGAGTTAAAGTACGCTGGGGAGAATGTAATTTGGGTTTTTCACTTTAAGTGCATTCTCTTAACTTCCTTGGTACATTAGTTTCTTTAAAATGCAAATCCAAATGAATCAGTGGGATGAAAAGAGCAACAACAGCTGCAGGAAGGATATTATCAAGAGATTAAACAGTAGCTTTAGTTTGCCTTATAAAAAGGCATGCGTGTCGACACATTTTCACAGGCATTTCAGACTTTTTATGTATGCATACCCGTATATAAATAAGAAAAATACTTAGAATGCAAATATTTTCCCATAGAAAACATAAGAACAGAACAGTTGGGCTGCTAACAACCTAGAACCACTTAAATTTCAAAGGCCTCATCTCAGGAACTTTCCAAAAAGAATGAAGCCGGAGTACATCAGCTAGGACCCCTCAATGTCAGTCAGCCAATTATCTACAAACTTTAAGACATTTAAACTTAAAATGCTGTTATTTCAATTACCACTTTAGACACACAAAAAGGACAGGGTGCAAGGCTCACTGCTTATTTTCCAACTCGTTGCTGGTCTGCTTTTTTAGTGTGGAGTGAGGTATTTACGAAAACGTCAGCTCTTCAAAAGATACTAAGTGCAAGTTTTTAAGGCCATATGGGATAAATGCCTGGCTGGTAAAGGCAGGTAAGCTCCTGCAGTTCTGGAGGAACACACTAGCACACATTTTGTCACTTAAGGAGAAACTTGTACCCCACATATTCTTTTCTATGGGCAAAAAATTGTTAGTTTACACAACACCGAACTTGACTCTATAAAACCTAAATAAAGAAGCAGACAGTATATATGTTAGTTTCTGAAAGCTAAATGGTGAGTTGACAGAGTGTACTTGGATGACTCTTGGAAAAAGAGTCAACCCTCTTAATCTGTGTGGTCAGATGTTACATGGCACCTTTGTGTGAAATTCAGGTCAGAGTCATAGAATGGCTTGGGTTAGAAGAGGCTTTTAAAGATCATGGGCACGGAGCGACATCTTTCACTACATCAGGTTGCTCAAAGCCCTGGCTTTAAACAGTCAGTTTTAAATTATATTGGTCACAAAAAGTTCCCCCTTAGTTGTTGACTAGGGAGCTACTTGAGGAATAGATCACTAGTTAAGGAATCACAGAATGGTTGAAGCTGGAGGGCACTGCTCAAGAATATCCCACCTCTCTGCTCAAGTAGGGTCTCCTACAGCAAGCTGCCCAGAACTACCAGAACCATGTCCAAATGGCTTTTGAGTATCTCCGAGGATGGTGACTCCACAAACTCCCTGAACAACCTGTGCCACTGCTCAGTCACCCTCATAATAAAAAGGTGTTTCCTGATGTTCAGACGGAACGACTTTTAAATTTGTAATCTTCCAGAAGCCTTCCAAAAAGGGTATTAATTAACTTCACGAGGGCATTAAATGACTCTCTGATGCATAGATGCAAGGCTTAAGCCCCATGCATCAGAAAGTTTACATTAGGTACTGGTATCTAGGCTTCTAGGATTTTGTTGTTCAAACAGTTCATGAACAGCTATGCAAACTCTGAAAGAGTAGTACTAGAGATTCTCATCTTCTTTTGAGTAATATTATTTAAACCAATCCACAAAACATAGACTGAGTAGCTATTTGACAGTGCTGCCTTCACAACTGCATTTATGTAACTGTCCCTAAAGTTGTGCCTTCCAAATGTCTACAAATACATTTTGGAGGTCACTCAGAACAGCCAGAAGTAGTTCATGTTGATCCATTTAAAATCAGGCTGGTGATTTTAATAGAAAGCCAAGCAACCATAACAATTTTACTAATTTGCAAAAGATTAATCAACATAGTAGCATGCCAAGTACAATGTGCTATATAAGCTTAAATTGGCAGGACAGCTCTTAAGGCACCAAGATCAGTCCAAGGGCCCACATTTGCATCAGATGTGTACATGAATGGTGGTCATGAAGCACCTAACTACTGCCCTTCCATGGAAGCTCTCCCCCTCATCTTCAGCCAGACTACAGACAAACCTTCAGCTCCATTCTTAACTCTAAGGTAAAAGAAGTTAATCTGGCTACAGCTCAGCATTCATGAAATTGTCAATGGCAATTGGTAGCTGCCAACTGCTAGTTCCACAAGCATCTCAAACTGCTTGAATTAGCCTCAGAAGTTCAATGATAAAAGCTTAGAAAAACTTAGGGATTTAAATTACTGCAAAGAGCAAGCACCACAAAGAAGTATTTGCACACTACAGCACAAAACAAAACCAAACCAAAACCAGCCAGGTAAAGATACATTGAAAGAGAAAGAAATGCAACACAAAATATAATCCCATCTTTAGCATTTCAGCAGCAGTCACAATTCAAAAAGAAACACCCTCCCTTTGAGAAAAGCAAATGGAAACTCACTTGCTAAGCAAGCTCTGTAGTGCTTTGTGCAGATGTTCTTTAAGTTCCTGGGACACTTTCTCCCCCAGATGAGCCAGGCAGTCTTCTATGGAGCTCTCTGGGTTGGCAGGACTGAACACTGGGGAAGTGTGGCAGTCAAATCCTGTAGTTGTAAATGCTGAGAGACAAAAGTATACAAAAGAAAATAAAACAGATCCATGTAAGAACATCAACAGAGTCAGATTTCTCATCCCACCCGTTAATACAGTTTATAAAAGGGATGAAGAAATCCTAACTTTATAGTCAAAAGATTTTATCAACAAACTGTAATAAAACAAGTATGGTTCAAATATACTCTGGAAGTGGTACTTAACAAGCCACAGATGACTTAGAACTACATTTCTCCTCCATCACAACTGCATCCGAACCAGGAAGTTAACTGAATGTGCAGCTGCTCTCAATTTCAAGCTGATGCTAACCCTGATGGAGCACCAAAAGTGTCTCTTTTCCATGGTAAAATTTGCCTACACATGGACATACGTATCTGCAGCAGTGCTAGAAGATAATTTTTTTAATAACATTTTGTTCATCTAACCTTTTCCTTCTCAGTCTAAAACTTCTAAGAAAGGTCTGTATGAATGAACATAAGCAGATCCTCTCTACTTTGTATTACCAATTTGCAGCACACATGCAAAGCAAGGATTGTCCCCAAATCATCCTTTGCTGGGCATCCTAGAAAAGCCACATCTACAAGTAAAGTAAAAAGTCAACCTGGTGGAACCAAGAAATCTAATGGTTTAAGCCCACACTCCCTTTAGCTGTTGAAGAATGATTTCACTTCTGTCATCAGCTGGAGCAGCTTAAGGGCTGCTTACATTTCATTATTTATAGTAGCCTATTAAATGTCATTCAATTGTTTGCTTTGGCTAGACTCCACCACTCCAAACGGTAACGTTTAACTATTTTACTTCACGTGACTATGTAGAAATCTTTGAGGGGGAGGAGGGTAGAGATTAAATGCATTCAAAAATATCTTTAGCTAGAGTACCTGTTATAAATCAACCACCAATATAGCGTATAGAGGTTATCAATTGAAAGGGAAAAAGCAGAAGAGCACCTTCTAAGATTTCTTCATCAAGATGTTTTAGCTCCTCCTCAATTTCTATCTTAATCTTCTCCAAAGCCTCTTTCTCCAAAGCATGTTGTGCAATAAGCTGTTGTTGAGTCCCTAAAAGAAGTCAGAGAAATTATTCAAATGCAGTATTTCAAATAAGGTAGATAATAGAACATGGTATTGAAATATTAACTATAAAGGAATTCAAGGTGAAAGTTCTACTTCAGACAGCAACACAAAAAGTATGATCACTTTCGGGCACTTACTGCTAAAGTTGTACTGTATGAACCCAGAAACACATAAATTTCCAGGCCTATTCAAGACAGAATAGGTACTTTAAACATGAATATATTACAAAAAAATAGAAGAATAAGGCCATAAACAGAATACATAACAGCCTCAAAACCAAACTTCTCTTAAATTTAAGAGCAAAATCAAACCAAGGCACATAAACAGGCAGTCATTAAAACTAATACACTCATTATCAAGCTACACCAAAACAAAGCCATTTCTATAGCAAAATACAAAATTGATATTGATGCCTGCAAAAATCTACAAAAATACTCAGAGCAACTATGCAATGGCATCCATGAAGAGTCCTGAAATCTATTACCTGTGGATCATTTTGCTGCTCATGAGGAGTCTATAGGCCATAATAAAACAATTGAAGACCAGGTTCCCAAGTAACAATAGAGGCCAGGGACCCCCTAATTGCCAGTCAGTTGTCAATTCTCATCTCCTAATCATGTAATTTAGGAATTTGAAATGTCTGCATATCCCCAGAAGTATACATGCCACGGTTTGGGATGATGAGTGCACATTCCAAGTGCTGACTCCAGATATTTGATAAAAGAGGTTGATTCAGCTGTATCATTCAGGATTACGTAGACTCTCAAAACAGACACAAAACTGTTTCCAAACAAGCCAAGGTATTTAAAACATTTGGATCTTTAAGAAACTGCCTGGTGAATATCAACCTTTCCAATATAAGGCCGTATGGCAAGGTAACTCATGTAACTGTTTTATGGGATGGATATTAGTAGAATGACTGGATGTCTAGGAAACATTTCCAGCTCAAAACTTTTACTATTTAGCTGCTTTTTCTTTGGGTTTGCTCATCTTTACTTCTTCCATCAGCTTTCAAGCATGTCTTCAAATCCTATTCTTAAAGCACACTATAAAAACTGTTCCATTAACTACTGTCTTATTTTTACTAAACATCGCTGAATCAAAAGCCTACCAACTGAAATTTTCTTCTTCCTTTCTTTCAGTTCCTTAAAATGTCCTACTTAGAGGTAAAATGGATATCTGTCACATCCACACAAATATAAAAGTGAATTTGGTAACAACTTACTCCTGATACTGTCCTGGTTTTGGCTGTTAATTTTCCTCCTAGTAGCTGGTACAGTGCTGTGTTTTGGCTTTAATCCGAGGACAATGCTGATAACACACCAATGTTTGAGTTGTTGCTAAGTAATGCTTACTCCAATCAAGGAATTTTCAGTGTTCCATGCTCTGCAAGTGACCAGATGCACAGAAACCGGGAGGGAGCAGAGGTAGGACACCTGACCCAAACTAGCCAAAGGGGTATGATATGCCACAGAACATCATGCTCAGTATATAAACTCTCCTTGGAGCCAGTCTAAATAAACAAATAAAATACACTACAAAGCTTCCCTTTGCTAAACATTCCACCTGCCAGCCATTTCCATCCCTGAGTTTTGGGTCAGTTATCAGTCCTCATTAGCTCTGCACTCAGCTACTTTCAACAGTATCAGCGACTGAGTTACACCAAACACACTTAGCTCTCTTACTGCTGTATGTTTCTTAGATTCTTTTTTGAGACTTCACGATCTCTTGTGTCCATGATTTAAATACCGTCTCCTGGCTGACCTTCTGATAATGTTGCCCATGTCCACAGTTTCTTACTCGTGCACCCAAATATGGATGACTCTCCAACTTTCTGCACCTACACCAGCTACCTACAGCTCTAGTAGAGCATCTAGATATTGTTCCACTCTACAGATGTTCTTCACTCAGTTGAAGAAAATAAAAGGGAAAGGATTTATGCCTGTAATGCTGGTATTATCTGACTTAATTTTTTCCTCATCACTTAATATTTCACACCCAAATCTTCAGGGTCCTGCAACACCCAGTGTAGCTTGCTAGCATGTCTTTCTTGTATTTTCCTGTTTTGAAGACACTAAATCATAATTTCATGCTCTTATGAACAACTGTATTTTCTTTGGTTCATCTCTATTTAAATCTGCTTGAGTCTGTTGTATCACCTTCTCCTTTCCTCCATAATGGACACACAATGTTACTGGTTATCATATCAGTGTGAAAACCTCTGCAAGCAATGATACCAGTTAACACACACACAGATGTGTATTAGAGTACACTGTCCATTTTCTGAATTTAAAAAAATGCTATACAGTAAGATTGCAAGGTCTCCTACATTTGAAAAGCAAGTTAAAAATACACTGAATATGCTAATGCTTAAAAACTCAGAACCCAGTAGATACCTGTGAGGCAAAATCTTTCTAAACCAAGGTAGATTGGCATGGAATGTTCAAGGGAGACCCTATAGCAGCCTTCCACTACCTCAGGGAGACTACAAGAAATCTAGAGAGGGACTTTTTACAATGGCATATAGTGACAGGACAAGGGAGAACAGCTTTAAACTGACAGGGGGCCTGGTACCGGTTGCCCAGAGAAGCTGTGGCTGCCCCATCCCTGGCAGTGTTCAAAGTCAGGTTGGGTGGGGCTTTGAGCAACCTGGTCTAGTGGAATGTGTCCCTGCCCATGGCAGGGGTTTGGAACTAGATGGTCTTTAGGGTCCATTCCAATCCAAACCATTCTAGGGTTGTGTGATTTATGTGAACAGTCTAAAGGAACAACAGGTAGTCAGGTTAATTCTATTTTACTTAACCACATAGTCCTCACCATTGTGCTCAGAATAACTTTATTTAGCCATTCTCAGACAGTCTCTCTTTGCCACTCTGAACAATAAATTCCAGAGATGAGCAAACTGGTTAATGAACAAACACTCACTAATGCCTTGTCAGACCCTTTAAGCTGCCTCTCTGAATGACTGAACCACTGCTTTACAGTCAAGTGCAACAAGTACATGCAAGTACAAAGTCTTATTTCAAGCTGTGCTTCACCCTGTATATGGAAGGGATGGGGTTATTCAGTAGAGCACCCATTCTCACAGGACTAATGTGATGATGATCATACATGACAAGCTGTCATACTTGATAATAAGTCAGTCAGAAAATGGAGGAAGAGAAATTCCATTGCTGCCAGCACACAAAAGAGCTGTTTAGATAATCAGTGCTGCAGTCAATGGTTTCCATCTCGTAACACCCACAACTCTGCAGCTGCTGCTGATTCCAACAGCACCTGACTCCTCAGTTGTGCCAAAACATCAAAAACCTACCCCTCCCGGGCCAGTGACTCTGCACTGTTTATTCCCCTAATTATCAATGAACTTCAGCTTTCTGCATCTCCTGAATGTTAACCACTACCAACAAAATTGTACCTAATGTTGGAGGACAGCATATTTCAATAGCAAAGGTTCTAAGCAAGTGGTATCCTTTCCTCCTTTGGACAACTTTCAAATCAGTTCACAAAGAAGTAGAATAAAACAGTAAAAAAAGCTTCCGGTGGATGAGACCATATTTTCATTGTTTAATAATGCAAATGGTCACTGTAAGAAGGCTCAGCTTAAAAGAAACTAAGAAAGTCCAAAATATTAAGACTCAAGAAGAGACAAGACATTGCCAACTAACACTAAATTTTCTTTGTGGGCACAGAGGATGCTTAATTAAGAGGGAATTCACAGTCCTGGAGGGACCCCTTCTTACTTCTCAAAGCCACACCCTAAAACCTTCCCTTCTTTGGCTCAGTTCAGGAAGTAGCTCCTTTATTAGCACAACTGCATTGCTCTGACCTACAACATTTACATTTTCAGCTTGTGGCTTTCCATTTAAAGTAGATATATTTTGCCCAAAGAGGAAAGTTTGTCAAGAATGAGTTACAGACCAACAGTAGGTGCAATGAAGAGTAAGTGAAGATACATAGATGGAGTACAAAGAAAACCAAGATACTCTGCAACAGGCAGTCCATCACTTGATGGCAGAAAATCTGGCAATGACAAGTATCCAACCCATGATGGTCAAAACTCTATAAACAAGGTACTTCTGTTAGATTTAGCATGGTCTCTAAGGAGCCTTGAGCTCACCCACAATGCATGAAACCTGACCATCTCTGCCTACCTGTATATGTATTTCCTGAGATGTATCAGAGTTCACCTCTAACCAAAGCGAGTGAAAAATAAAAGAAAACCCCATTTCTCCCAGTAACCTTGTTAAACACTGCTCAGGTAAGAAATGTTTGTGAGAAACTACTAAAATGCCTTGATCACTGACTATGTACATCACTTCATACTGTAATTCTGAAACAGGTAAGTGGTCAAAAGAACATAGTGCACAATAACTGGATTCAAGTACTGTGGATAGCACCTCAGAGAAAAAATGTAACACTGTCAAAACATTGTTCATCTCTTAAGTAATCTATGCCACCATGCGGCAGTGGCACTGATTATAAATCTTCCAGGTGCTACGTGAGCTGAGAGATCATTTAAGATTTCTCATTCTGACAAGGAAAACATGGAAAAACTTTCCTTCACAATCTTCATTATAGCCACTGGCTCATGAGATGGGGTCAAACCATGGCAAGGTAGATTGAAAAACAGAAATACAATGAAAGTTACTCCTTGATGAAACACAAAGAAGTATTTATAATATATCGAATCACAAAACCAAAGTATTCTGACTCACTTAAAAAGTCAGCAGTACTAACAACTGTGGCAGACTGGAAGCTTCTATAATGCACATGAACTTCAAATAGGGAAATGTAGAAATGTTTTCAGAAACTCGATCCATGTTTTCTGTGTATGAACCAGTACTTATAGACAGTACAAGAGTTCTGGAAAAATACTAAAGCTTCTCTCCACAATCTAATGAAGAGCTGAGAGCTTCCACACATTTCAAATAATGGTACTTGTCTGTCGCCCCAAAACATATGAATTCACACAGATGATGTTGTGT